AAAGGTTAACATATCACATAGTAGTAAAGTTACAAATTATAACAATCCGGCATTAAAGTGTGTTCTGTAACGAATATCTCACAGTAATTTTGCAAAACATAGTTTGAGAAACGATTTTTAAAGCATTAACAAATTATGGCACAAATTCGCGTCAAGTTGTATCGTAGACCCGATATACAAAACAAACGTCACGACATACATGTAAGTAGCAAGATCACTGCCATATAGTTTAATTGTAATTCACTTGTAAGTCACAAAACAATTGTACATCAGTATTTAAAGTTATTTATTATCGTTAATGTAAGTGCAACTTAGTGATTTCGATCGAGAACGCGATACAAAGCATGAAATCGTGTTCGATCGAGACCGCATATTTGAAAAAAGAAGGACGAACGAAAATGAAATTATTTTGTACTTTTGTAGCGGTGATAAGGTATGAAGTTTTAATATTTAAGACGATTTAGAAGGAAGGAAATAGTCATATCTAGCGCCCTGTAATAAAGTGTCCTTAATGAATTAAATATAGTATATATGTAGGGAGAAACGTTCTTCTCAAGAATATTTTAATATTTATGTCTAGTATTTTTCTTATTCGTTGAATTGTAATATATTATACATATGCAGAAAAATTAACAATGACGCCTCCGCTATTGTGTATAAAATATATAACAATGAGAAAGTATGGTCATCTAATTCATCCTCTTCTGTACTCCAAAAGTTATATATACATTTACATTACACAACCAATTAAGAGACAAAGAAGACACACTTAGCTTTGTGTGTGTATATAATGTACGATTCGCTGAAGAATAAAAGTCTATTGCAAAGTGGGTTATTAAATTTTATTGATGACATTCTCTGCAAGATGCTAACAGTAAAATATGACCCAAATTTTTACTTGACGTACTCAATAAATATATATCATCGAGTAGTAGTTTCATTTATGCGTATATAAAAACATAATATTTACAGACATGGATAAATCGAACAAGTATGATTCGACAAAGTTTTCAGTTTTCATTTTTTTTTTCCATTTGTGACAATAAAAATGAAGGATTATTACATAAAGGTAATCGTTTATTATTAGTAAGCGCGATTATTTATATCTCATTTTTTTCGTATCTCTGTGTTTTTTTCGTTTCATTATTTATCACGCCGGTTACCAACAGCTCACTAATAATATTTCTCTGCTTCGAAAAATATAAATATCAAGCACAAGCAATCACCCTTCTTCCTTGCTACAGTTACACATCCTTTTTTCGAACGTTCTCTTACTGTTTGTGGCTTTTTTTCCCCCTATTTTATTTTCAATCCCTTCTCCACAAGCCGATGTTCTTCCGTTGATTCTTAAGATTAGTGACTACTATATTTCGTTAATCGTAAATTTTCATTCACTGTTCGTTCACGTTGTCGTAGTAGACTTTTACCGCGGCTTGACGCCATCGAAATCTTACAATTCATCTTATGGCGTTTACTTATTTCCGCGTTCAATATTGTCAAGTCGGACTATATCGGAGTCTGAAGCTCGCAAAAATTTCTCTATTCATCATTTTTTATGACGATACACGCAGTAGATTTACAACAGACGAGAATAGAATATAATCAACTTCTTTGGATACTACAATCGACGGATTTTTTTTCCTTTTTTTTTTTTTTTTCAAAGTGAAATTTTTTCCCAAGTCCCTCCATTACACAAGTAATTCGCCTCGCACACGAGGACATGTAAAACAATCTCGGGACGATTGAATCAAGTATATCATTGCGAATTAAAAATATATTTTTCGCGATTAATCGTGAAGAACATGAAATTCGATATGTTGCATAATTACTTAATAATAATCAATACGGTCGTGTTCTGTTATGCGATTGCAGAATATAGGGGGTCTATTGTTTCTGTGAGTCGATTTCCATTTTGTTTTTT